CTACAGACAAGCCCAGGTCAAGGTCTGAGTTTAAATATGGCCCTGAAGCCCTGGGCAGAAACCGCAGATGAGGTTTCTCACAGTCATTTCTCCCCATTTGCCTGATGACAGGTCACTAAAGCTACTGTGCCACTTCAGAGTTGGCCTTAGGGAGGACAGACCCCTTGGGGTGTGGGAAGAACATCACCCTGACAGTCAGTCAGAAGTGAATGTGATTTTTCACTTCATTTTATCAGATGGATGCTACGATAGGGTGGATAATAATAACACACAGGAGAATTCTATCTAGAAGTGCACTGTGCACAGTCTCCCATCCTGGGTATGAAATATGTGTACACCCTTTACATGCATGCAAAAATACTAGTTGGGATTTCCATAAAATTGAGCCACTGTTCATTCCATGCAAAATGTTTGATTGGGGGATTTCTTATCATGGCAGCTTTTGACAGTTACACTTTGGAAAGCTATGACATTTGTAGTTTTATTACCAACTGTATTAATAATTTTTATGTATAACAGAGTTGCAAAATATGCTACTTTTTCACCTGGGTCACAATTAATTAAGTATTTCTTTATTTTCTCTAGGGAAGTTGTTACCTACTTTTAATCCAGGTGCCTAGGCAAAGTTCTCTAAAATATATCATTGCATCTCTGTTCTGATGAGTGAAAACTTCTTAGGAAAAAAAGAACTGGAATTCTGATGTTCAAATTCATATGCATAGTAAATAGTCATATTTAGTGTAGAAGAAGAATGTTTTATAAATTATATGGAATGTTTCTATTTACACTGTTGATGCACAGCATCCATTAGAATCCAATGGATTTTCTGCATAACTATTTATTGTAAATGGTTATTAAGTTTATTGCTCTCGCATGCTTCATAAAAATTAATTTTGATGCCTAAAAACCAACAATGACTGACAGGATTCTGCTTTTTCATAGCCAATTCAAAGTCATTGTCTTTGATATAGGGATTGAGATCAGTAACCAGGGCAAGAAAAAAAATACAATCAATACAATTCAAGATATAAAAATATTTATACTGTAACTGGAATGTAGAATGTTCTTAATTTATATAATGCTGCAGAACCTACTTTCTGGGAAGATAAGAGAAGTTCCATTTTGTACTGATGGATGGCACTGCTCTGATTATTTTGATTGCAGTTTATTTTTTATTTCTGGTCATCTGCTATTTTGTGGGTAAAAGACAGGGTGCAGGGATGTGAATGGAATATGAACAGCCAAGTGTTGTCCCAGAATGGACCCACAGCATTACCTGTGACCAAGACCTCGATGTAGCAGTGTCTAAAATGAGATAATCACTTTGAGTCCAAATGCAGAGAGGATATGCAAATTAAATATAAGTTAAGCACTCAACATGAATTCTGAGAAATAAAATGAAAACATCAAAACCTCTGAAAATGGGTTAGCTGTTTCTTTAAGCAATTTAATTGTAGAAGTTGCTTGACTAGAACAAGTTTTCTTGTTTTATTATCTGTAAGAATGGCCTTAAGTATTAAAGTTAATGCTCTCACATGCTAATACATAATTATTTATAGTACTTTGATGTTTTGTGTATTTTTACAAGGTGCTAATTGTGCTGAATCAAGTTGACAAAACTGCATAATTTGTAGGTTAATATTAGCATAATCCTACAGTACATTGTTTAGCAACAGTATAGAAATGAAGTTTATGGAATGTTTTTCCAATATGATGAATAAAGCACATCTTGTATAATAATCATTTTCATTACAGAAATCATAACTTTTAGGAAAGTATATAAATAACATTCTTTTTCATATGGGTCAATTGATTGTGAGGTTTCACTAGAGCAGAATGTATCGTAAAAGTGGGTTTCCTAGTTTATCAAGGAATGTTATCAAAATATCAAGGATTTATTGAAACACATACAAAATTCAGACTTGGTTTACAGCAACAAACCAATAACCTTTTGTAACCCGTCTTATGTTTGTGACTTTTCTGTTTTCAAAGGCCTTTCCTTCCACCTTCAAATGGCTTCTTAAAAACACCGGTCCTGGGACATGGAACATCAAGTTCAATCCCGTTGCACAGAGAGTTTAGAGTTCCACTGACAGTACACCCAAACTGGCATCTGTAAATCTCTGTACAATATCATGTACAATACTGCCAAAGAATATTAAATTTTACTTACAGAAAGTCAGGTCCAAAGGTTTAGAAGAGTGATAATCTTTGAGGGAAGGAAAACACCAATATTTTTATGACCTAATGTAAATTGTGCTACATATCGCCTCAGCAGTTGTCTTTGTATACTTCTTTTTTCTTTCTTGCTCTCCAGAGGGAAAATAAATCCGTTATGTGATACTATAATAAAATGAAATTGCTCCCACAAGCCATTGCTTAACATGGCCCCTGCTGGGGTGCCGGTACACATGAAAAAATTAGGCTGGTGAATCAGTTGTTTTTCGCTTGTCAAATCTTAACATTCTCAAGTTAGAGGACTAAGGCTACTTTACTGAGTCAGAGCAATGTGCCAGTACAAGGCTTATGTGCTTTGCAACGTATACAAGTCACACATCCTGGTTCAGAATATAATTCTTTGCACCTTGTTACTGAGCATGTGCAAAGAAAAACAGAAAGGAGGACATATCAAAAAGGAAATACTGCCCAAATATCAGACAGTCACCTGTTATCCACACCATTTTGGCTGACGCCTGTCAAAGGGAAAGGATTTGAGTAGTGAAGATACAGGTGAATGGATACACTGTGTTATTTTCACTGAATGACGTGTCCCTGGTGGCAAACAAGGGCGGATCCCTCGGTAAGAGAGTATACAAGGCTGTAATTGCCACCTTCCTATCTTTCAGATTTTGTGCTTGGGGATTCCTGAGGCAGGCATACTCTTTCTGGATTTTCATAGTCCTCAGAGTATTGCTCTTTTTTGAGATTTTTCTGCATTCTGCTGTTCCAAGGCTTCAGCAGATTAGCTGCTCAGCGTTGGTAGTTTATTAGCCTTCTTTTTTGGGTTTTGAACTCACCACCTTGTAACAGGATTACAAATAGTAAAACAAGGAAAGAAAAAAAAACAAACAAACACAAACCCCTCTTTGCTTCTAAAGTTTAAAACGCTGTTTGAAGTAGTACTGTGTGTAAGCAGATGTAAACCACAGATTTAGCAAAGGAAGCTCTCACTTAGGTGTACTTGGGGGGAATATCTCCTAACAGCTGAGCTGGAAGCTGCACAGTGATGTCCACATTCACCCTCCATTTCAAGTGGACCAGCATCTGCCACTGCACCAACAACTGCATTTTCTCTTATCATTGTGACAGTATTTAAGTATTCAGTCTCTGAAAGAGCATAATTTAGTGGCTTTACCTGTCCATAAATCCCCTGTGTTTTTTATTGATGTTTAGTATTGGTTTACACTTATTATTCTGAGAGTAACAGAAGAATAAGTAATAAGCAAAATAATGAGCATAAAGCATCAGTTTTTAAACTTTAAATAGGCGTATCTTCTTGTTGCAACTTTTCTCTTTTCTTCTCCTTGCAACACTTATTACCCAAAGCAAAGGAGGGAAGAATGTAGAGTGACAAGAAATTCAATTTGCAAGTGCTGAAATGCAAATTCAGTCATACTAATATCACCCCCTACTTGAAATTTTGCACTCAAGCTGCTGATAAACTTCATCATGCTGAGAAGAGTAATTTCACTTTCTGAGGAACAGGAAGAAAGCTGTTTTCATTTAGTGTCCAAAATGAGAGACCATACTGGACCAAAAGAAATGGAATTTAAATTTTATTTTCAAGGTGATTTTTTTTAAATGTAATTTTTTTTCCCTTGAAATCCAGAATAAGATAGTTGAAGAAACTCTTATAATGTGCCTTTCAGTTATGGTTTGACTCATTTTGAACAATAAATTAAGAGAAGCGTGATAAATGATTACAGTCATTTTAATAAATAAGTTAGATGAGTGACTACAGTTTTTAACCAGGTCAGTAATCTGTTCGATTATTATCTTTTATTCTAAAAAATGAAAAATCATCAGTACAATGGAAAAGATGATATGTATTCCCTGACAGTAATGTAGTTTTATTTTGTGAATTAAATGCCTTAACATTCAAACAATCATATAGTTTTTCCAAACAGAACCAGATTACCTCCTAGAAAAATAATTGAGCATCTTTGTTTTTATCCTTTAAGTACACCCTAAAACCTATTATAATCCTGTAAAGGAGGATTATTAAACTAAACAACAGTAGCACATTTAATGATGATCTGCTAACAAAACATTCTGGCTAATCTCTGATTAGTGATTACATTTCGGCACCAATCCAAAACATAGGATGACTGAAGTTCTTAAGACATAGGCTATCTGTAAAAAAACATTTAGAAATTTGTCTTCATTTCATTTCTTTAGTACTTGCCAGTGGCCAGGGCAAACAGATCTTGAAGCAGAAGGTACATCAGTCACTCTGGACAAAAGTAGGTCAGATCTTCCCAAAATGCTGGAAGTGTTTACCTGGTCCTTTATGTAGTGGACTGTAGACTTGCAGACATGATAGTAGTATTTCTCTATTTTTTTATGGTACAAACTCCTATATTTTAATATTTTGGTTTTGTTTCAGTCATCCTGGTATTTCAGTACTTTTTGGTTTAGGTTTTTTTTTTTCATAACTATATCAAATACTCAAAGTGAAACATACATAGAAAAAAGAGTTTAATAAAGGGTCCCTTTACACAACTAGAAATTCCTTTGAAGAAAGTTGGATTTTCTTGACAAGGATTTAAAAATTTATAAAACACTGATTTGTGATGCATTTCCGTAATGATAATTTCACTGTTCAGAAGGTTTACCACATTTCTATTTGATATAACTGTTATAAATGCAAATGCATGATGCCATCGGTATCACACCAATTTTAATCTGAGACATCCAACATTACCCTCTTATTTTTTTTTCCTGTAGTCAGTAAATAAAGTATGAATAGATTGTGATTTCATTTCCATTTATACTTGCAGACGGTTTGACAAATCTTTGGAAAAGTGGCAACACTTTCATAGTGACATGAAGAGCTTTAATCACTGGCTAACTGAAACTGAAGAGAAGCTGTCAAGAGCACAGATAGAGGCTGGGGACGTGGGGCATGTGAAAACCAAGCAATTTATCCAGGTATGATTTGATCAATCCATTTCCTGTTTTTCTGCTGTGTTTTAGAAGCTTGCAGGCCTGGGTGATCCTATAGTTTTGCAGTTCATTTGGGGGCGATTTCTGGTGTTGACCAGTGACAATTTTGGTCAGATATTTCTGTTTATCTGGTTGAAAGATGCATTTTTACAAGAAATAAGACAGGGGATGACATGGTATATTGTGATACTTCCACAGTTACATAATTGTTTGGTCTTTATTTAAAATGCTCATTAATTTCCACTTGATATTTATGACCAGCAGAAGTATCAGACTTGATTTTAAAGTCTTTTGGAAGAAAAGTGATTAACCACTGAGCTGTACAAGAGATATTCCATGAACTATGTCTTGCAAGTATTGCTTATTTTGCCTGTTTCATGTTTTAATCAAAGAATCTTGAAGATGCTTGCTTTTTGCCTTTTTTTTCTTTTTTGTAAATGCAGTGTGACAGAATAGCCACTTAGTTCCTATTTGTCCAGTTCTAATTTGTATGCTTTTTATCTTGCAAGTTCTTTGAGCATCATAAGGAAAATAACTCTGGTTTCTTGGTTTCTTTCATTTCTCTCTTATGTGTTAGAAATGGTATGGGTGTGAAGAATTAATTCTAGACTGACATTTTGGAAGTAGATAGTTTCAGCTGAATAATGTGACTTGACTAAACTCTGGATTCAGGTTATAAATTACTACTAGGGTGTAAGAAACAAAATCTGTTAAACTTGGCATTTGTACATTTGAATTGATGGATTGAATTACTGGATTTCAGGTGTAAAGAAGTTAGGTCTGTCTAATATTAAAGGTAGGGTTTTGTTCTGAATGCAACACTAACCTACTTTTTGGCCTACAGTTAAAAAACTCAATCATGTCTTCTGAATTTTAATATTTAAAGACAAGTTTTATAAGAATTAGGCTTCTGTTTCTTAACTGAAACCTCTGAGCTGAAAAGGAAACAAAATTGTGTGGTACAAGTATATAAAAAAAGATGCAACTTCTAAGTAACACACTAAGCTGAAGTAGTTAAAAGAGCAGGTAAATATTGTTCTGCAAATTACTATCAATTCTTTGAACACTGAAGAAAGGTGTCTAAGATCTGGCTGACAAAATAGAACATCAGGGAATTAAAGTTGGTCTTCATTGTGTATGTAAAAGGTAGCAGAATTCACGTCACTGAAATTTCTACTCCATTTTTCTGACCCACAGTTTTAAGTACTTCTTAGAAAACATATATATAAGCAAAGTTAGACGTGTGTCCATGTGACAAATAGTAATACTGTGTCACAAAACCTTACCCTTTCTTCTGTGCCTTGCCTCTGCTCCATCACCCTTCGTGGCACTATGCTTGTATCCTTGAGCAGCTCAAATGAACATTTAGAAAATAAAAAAAATAGATCCATGAAAGAGTTTATCTCCTTCTTTTCTAACCCCTTCTAAAATAATATTTGATGTCTGAGGAGAGGTTGATTTTTGAGAGTACCCAGATCAAGGTAAGATGTATGACAGGTGTTACAAATTCACTGGGTGCATAGCACATTTCAGAGTCTCAGCAGATTTGAAGCATTGTTTTCTTGCCTTCATCAAGAAAGGTTTTCACACAGAACTGAACTTCACACTGAAAGACCCTGGGAGAATATCTTGATATGCAGAAACCTATATTTCAATCTAGAACAAGTCTGCTTCTGTTCTCCATTTCTCTTTGACCTAGCCTCCTTCTCACCTATTATCAATTTATTATTTTCTTGTGCAATATATGAGAACATTTTGAATATATGTTTGCAGACTGGAATTTTCTCTTTGCAGTCCATCAAGCTTTCTCTTTCTTCCTTTTCCCCTTGTGTTAGAAATCCCATGAACTCATGAATTTGTCACTCAAACATTTCTTTTAGTTCAGTATGACACACAAAAGTACCTTTCTAATGAAAATTCTCATGGTGTGAAAATATTCCAATTAACCTGAAGAATGCACACCCAATGTTAGTTAACATTTATTTGTGACAGAATGCTTAGTCTGAAGTTGCAGTATCCCCATTCTCTTCATTGTCTCTTTATTTTGCTGGGTCTTGTTTCAAAAGTATTAGGCTTCTGTGAGGCTGACTGAAGAGATAATTAGAATTTCCATTAAGTAAACAGTTAAAACAGCTGAGCATTTTGATTTACTAGAGTAGCAACTTGTTTTATTAATGAGATCATGCTGCTTAGTGAACCATATTCAGAATTAACAGGATTTGTTTGAAAATGCTTTCACAAGCAAGTGAATAATCTGGTATTCAACAAGGAAATGTTTTAGGGAAAAAAAATATACAGAACATTCAGATGTGTAATACTATTTCTAAGTAGGACTACTTTGAAAAAGTAGAGATTAATGTGTTCATTAACTTTCATTAGATACGTAGAGTCAAAAGTTAATATAAAATGAAACAGTCAACAGTATGATTAGATGATTATGTTAATATAGGTTAAAAGGTAATTACATTCTTTTAGGTGTATTTGGGGAGGGGAGGTGCATTCTTTTTTGCTGCACAATGACATGATATTAAACAACATTTATGCATTATATATAACGTGAATGAAACATAATAATAAATTGTTTCATTTCAGGTCATGAATACTTTAATACTCTTATTGTGAATTTTTCACTAAGACTTTCCAAGAGCAGAACTTGTGGTGTTGGGGAGAAATATCACATTTTGGTTTTTAAGATATTGTAATTGACTTCTTTTATGATTAGGTGACACAGGATTTAAAAGGATATTTTACAGATAGCACATATAATCCCTTTCAAACATATTGATGTGTGTCTTTAAAGTACTTAAAGATTATTTTTTTTTTTGCTCTCATTATTGTGACAGAAAGGTTCTTCAGTCTCTTTACTCCTTAATGCTTGGAGACTATAAGTTCTTCAGCTTCCTGCATTTGCACTTGGTTTATTTATTTTTGTGCCAGGACTGAGTTGTAGTTCAGTTCTATCTACTTCCTGATGTTTATCTCCTTCTGTTCTCACAGGCTGCAGTCATTTTCCCTGTTGGATCTCAGCTGGTACACTAAAGGCACAGTTTTCTAATCTACTTTCAAATGGTAGCTACACAACTTGATTCTTATTTCCTGTGCCTACTCCTCTTTCTGGAATATGAGTTCTCAAAATAGCACACTATTATCCAAACTGAAATACCATCTGTATCATCTACAGGGTAGCTCAGGTGCTGTGATCTTACCATGGCTGAATGTTGGAATAGAATTTTCAATCATCTATCTAAACTTCTTTATTTCATGGTTTGTTTTTTTTTTTTTATTGTGGCCTGCCTTGCAGCCCCAATCTACGTCCCATTTCATGTGAGAAAACAAGCAAACAAAAACCCAACCAAACAAAAAAACTCAAAAAGTATGTTGTATTGGAAATTAATTCCAGGTTAGTATGCAGCTGAGAAGCAAACAAGGATTACTATTGGGGAAGTTGTTCATGTGTTGTAGGTAAATGCTAAATAGACAGATACAAAAAGAGGAAATCTGTAACAGTTTCAGAACTAGACTGTGAGGTTACAATCCTGAATCGTTACCAGAAAACTTTGAAATAGTATTGTTATTTTAAAAATATAGAACATTCAGAATAGTTGCTCTTTATATTGGTATTAGAAATTGCTCAGTAGTTTAGATTTAGTATCTGCTTGTGGGTTGCAAGTTTATTTTAATATTTTAGGTGGTGCAGTTTCAATAGCAAAATAGTTAGGTGCTGGGTCTGAATTTTGAAGAAATTTCTTTGTGTTCATAATATTCAACTATTCTAACTGGTCAGTGATGAGTATTTTCCACCAGACAAGCAAGATCTGGACTTTGTTTTTCTTAACTTCATTGTTTAAATAATGTTGCTATTGTTTAAATATTAATTTTTCAAATCTTTAATTTGCAGGCATAGATATCAGTGATATTATGTCTATTTTTGAGGGTCTCAGAGGACCTTAAATATTGGGTGATGGCCTTATTAATTATACTCAGCTTTCTGAGGATACTGTAGATATAGAAATTGCTTGTAAATTACAGATCTCAAACTATTCACACCAATGTATGAATTGTCCAGCATTTACATTTTAGAGTACTTATCCAAGCCTGCAAAAGGCTTGTGAATGACTCATGGCTTCTCCAGGCCTTCTTTCTGCTGCACCATCATGTCAGGGACATCATATTTTTGTCTTGTGGATGTTTAAAGTAAGAAGATATCAAGAATCCAGGCTCCAGTGCTGAAAGTCGTGGTCATGCTAATAATTTCTCTCTTTTATAGCTAAATTGGATTATACGGATATTGATGGTTTAATAACCACTGAATTTAAACAGTTCTTTCTGGAATAGAGTACATGCAATCAGAGTGTAGGGGAGAATAAAGTATTTCAGTGCTCAAGGCCACATATTCTCATACCATGAAAGCACAGTGATAAGTGGATGGATAGTTTACTCTCTTTTCTCCAAAATTTAAAACTTGTAAAAATACTTTTTTATGTATAATAATTTTGGCTTTAATGTTTTAGATTTTGTATTTTTAGATTTATTTTCTGCTTTATTAATTGATAAAGGTTATGCCAACAATTTCTGGTTCTTCTTGTTCTAGTTTGGATTCAAACAGTTCAATTTTGTTCCATCTGCTTCAGTTTTGACTAGTGTTTCTTGGTGATATGAAATATTTTCAGATAAGTTGTAAAAAAAGTAGCAAAATACTCTTTCTGATCAAAGAGATTTCTGTGATTGCTTAGTGATTCTATAAGCAGGAGAGAATATAGAACTTGGAATCAGTGAAAAAAACAATTTAGCATTGGTTTAGAAGAATGATTAGAGCAATCAAGGTACACATGTCCTTCATATTGCAAGGGCATATGTGGAAGGACATATATCTGGCAGGAATGTATTGTTGGCTAATATTTTATAAATACCAAAAGCACACTATCCCTTATTGTTACATTGAAAACAGATTCTACTGTAATTTTTTTTTTTAATTTTTAATGTTC